AGTTCTGTTTCAGCCAAACCAGGACAGTAGTAATGCTCACAGCATGCACTTTGCAGTGTAAGTTTAGGCTTCATAACAATGCTTGGTTTGTTTTAGGGGCAGTTTCAACTGCTTAATACGTGGCTTTTGCATGATAGCTACTGTCATGCCCAAGAGCTGATACATACTGCAGCCACCATACCATATGACAGTTGTTGATTTTTAAACTTGCTTGTGTATAACAGACCAGGAGTATCTTTTTTTCTTTTGTTTTGGCCTGACAGGATGATGATCATGCAGCTGCCAGTGTCTCCAGTGATGATCTGGAGAAAGCTTATATAGCCAAAGGTTCTCCAAAGTTGAACTTCAAAGCTGGAAGACATGAATATGAACTCAATTTTGGAGGTAGGTTCCATTTGCTTTGCGTTTTTCTTTTCTTCCTCCCTCCCAGGTCTTTTGTGGTTTTAAACTACATTAATACAGGAGATAGGAGAGAGAAATTTGAACTTTGAACTGCAATACTTAACGGAATCCGAGCTTCTGTCAAAGTTCTCAGGATTAAAGCTGTTCACATAAGCAAAGTGGCATTCCTATTCCTCCAAACCTTTTATTTTTGAGAAGTTCTTGTGCTAGATTTCAAAATACCTGCCAGCAAGTCCAAGTGAGAAAATGCCATTGATGCTAGCACCAACACAAATGGTGACAAACTTCTGGAAGACTTGGCAAGCTAGCATGTGTAGCAAGAAAAAAGCTCGGTGCCTTTTTGTCAGCATTTTTGACAAAAAAAACTTAGTGGCAAGTTTTGCTGCAGTGTGGAGGCTTTCTAAAACATCTTTCTGATTGTTCAAGTTTTGGGTTGTTGTTTTTTTTATTTTCCCAGCCATGATTCAGAAAAACCTTCGCTATAAAACAGAGAGAGAGATTTGCAGAAGACCTAAATTTGTGTCTCAGAGAGAAGTAGAAAACGGAAAACGAAGGTAAAGTGCAACTGCTCATTCTGAGGTGGTGGATTTAGTGCATTGTGAATGCGTTGTCTTCCAAGGGTGTAAATAAGGTAAATGAGTAGTTGTTAAGGCAATTGTGAAACAAATTGAGAGGAGAAGGGGCATACCTTTCCTACAACAGTGTTTAGCCAGGGCAGTATTGCAGCCTGGCCAGCATTCTTCGAGCAGCTTGGGAGCTTTGGGGGTGAAGGAAGTTTGGGCTTGGCCACAAAAAGTGTGGAAGTATAGAAAATGATCGAACATGTAGCAATATTGGGGGGAACTACTGATCAGAGGGAGCTATCTTATTAGAGCAGCTGATACAGATGGAAGCAATAACATTTATGCATACTAGCCCTTTCTGACATCTGACATCAGTAATTTTAAAAGCTAAGTATAAGTTTAGAAACAATTCTTTTGAGAACAACCAGACAATCTGAGAGGAATGTAGTAGTCGTTACAGGTGGAGCAAAAGGTAGGAGTCCACAAGGGGAGAAGTTTATGTAATTACAGGTAACAGCCAACTTTTTTCACACATTCCCTTGCAGCACACGGTGCTTGCTTAAACAACACAGAAGAGAGCAGCTAAACACACTAACTAAAATTGAGGTGGAAGTAGAGGGGGGAGGGCTGTATCTACCCTGTTTCTGTTATAGTGGTATGATACTGGATGCATTTTTATTTACCTACGCCAGTGTAGCAGAGCTTTTATGTATACATTCAACTGTTTGCAACTAAAAGAACTACTTTCATGTTTACTTCAGTGTATATCTAATATTTTTCTCATTTGGCATCTTGCTTCCTGCTACAAGTCTTGACATAATGATTTGGAACAAGTATTTTCATATACTGAACCTAAAAGACAATTTTGAAATATTACTGAATATGTTCAGTTGTCTATATTTTCCCTAAACTTGGCAAAAATGTTGAGTATCATATGTACATAAAATGTAGGAATCTGTTTTGTTTTAATTACCTCTTTGTAATATTTTGTAATGTACAGGGGCTTTAAATGTTCAGAAGCATTTAAGGGCATTCCAGCTCACTGGGACAAATCTGCCTTGCCTGAACTGGGATTCAAGGTTTGGAGCTTTTTGTTTTTTCTCTCCCATCAGTTTTGTCAGATACAGGTTTGTTACATCACAGGTTCAGTGTTTCTTCTGTCTTTGTAGATGACACTTTCTTATGTAATGCAGAGGTGTTGGTAAATTTGAGCCTCATATCACACTGGGCAGACCTAGAGGTGAAACCAGACCCAAATTTAAACTAACAAATGGTGGCAGTATAACCATGGCAACATTGACTTTCACTGCTACTGTTTATCCCTTTCCTTGGCAAATTTGCCTGAAGCTTGTACTGTATTAGCAAGACTGTTACTGGTGCCCAAGATACCTAGCATTGAAATCCAACGTGTGATGAAGCATCAGGGATAAATCATGCCTCTAGACTTCAGGGTAGCCATTCCCTGAGCTATGTGTATGTAGACTGTTGCATGTCTGTGGAGTGTTGCTGAAATCAGCAGAGTTCAGGCTGGGATAATTTATTAAATTGTACAATAAATCCAGTGGAGTGAACTTGTTTACCTTTGTAACTCACCCAGTTAATATCTGCATGGATTACCTTTGCTGACTGACTGCCTACCTCTACCACTATCTCTGTCAACTCTAATAACTGTACCTACAGAAAAGATCATCTTATATGAAGCTTGAAAATTACTAACTTGCAAAATGCAAATCCTCAGGAAATTGTCAATAAAGAATAGGGAAGGCTAATGTTGACATTCTTGATGTTCCTAGGGAAAACATGCAAGTAGAAAACTTTGCTTGCTTTCAGGACTGTCATGTAAGGAACTGATTTTTGGCGGTATGTCCCTACTCTTCCCTAAAATGGTTGATCAAATAAAGCCTTTTCAATTTATTTTAAAGGATAACAGGCAGTGCAGTTTATGTTCACTGGCTGTAGGGAGTATAAACTATAAAGATCGAAAAAGCATGAGTGTAGAGGTACTCTTTGATTTGCTGCAACTTAAATTCTCCTTTTTTCATTTATGTGCTCATTTTTTCTGTGTGTTTAGGTACTGTTTGATATATGCGTGCAAATCTGTCTTGGCCCAAATATTAAAAGGGGCTGTGTGGCTGCACAAAAGCATGCAGCTCATTTAATGTCCTGTGAGGGAGCAACCTGGGTGTCTTAAACCCCAGGAGTTAATGTTCCCTAGGTAAGAGCTGACTTTTACAGAGCGGAGATCTCTAATCTGCCTTTTTTCCAAGAGTATTTTTTCGCTGCTAATACCTCTGCTTCACAGAAAAGATCTTAAAGATCTGAGTAGTGCTCTAGGTAGGGTGGCTTTGTTATGATTTAGTAAAAGATGACAGTAGCTTTTTAATCTTTTCCTTGCAGCTGATTGAGCTTGACAGTTCTTCTGAAGAATACAAGAAAGTTAAGGTGGACTTTCAACGCACAATGCCCAAAACAGTTATTAAAATGATTCGTAGAGTTCAGAACCCATCTCTCTGGGAACTGTATCAATGGTATGTGTAAAATACTGTTCTGGTATCTGTGCATGAAATTTGTTTCTGCAGTTAGTTGTGTGCTAAAGATAGACACACGCATTCCTGAAATGCAGCTGCATTTAAGAATCTGCTTCCACTCACCCACTGAAATACCTAGCCAGGATCAACATGTAGATAGAGGTACCAACAAAACGCAAACTCAATCAAGATACGGAGCTTAGAATAGTCAGATGAGGTGTGTGGGAGGAACCCTTGCTCCTGAGTAAGTGGTTCTGAGTTCTCCCAGGCGTGTGTCCAGGACAGCTGCCTTCCACTGAAGCTCATAATCAGTCACATCTGGCACAAACACTGGTTTGTAGCTGGTCAAAACAGAAACAGCCTTCAAAACTAAGTGGAAAACTCACTGGCGGGAAAGTCTTAACATGAACTCCTGTGTTTAGGAAAAAAAAAAAAGCTAAGGTTCGTCTCCCTCTCCCAATAGGCAGTAAATGAAACAAAATTATTAAATATCTGGAGGCATTTGCCTATAACAAAAGCAAGTTTGTATGCAGCTAGACAACAAGATACTCTGTATGCCCAAAGTTTAGGCCTTAATATAAGGATTTTCAGAATGTACTCTTTGTGTAAAATTGTCTCTGAGTCCTAGTATGGGTGGAAGTTGTCTGGGTATAGCCACTGTGGAACTGCAAAGATACTGCTTCTTATTGCAGGCAGAAGGAACAAATGCAGAAGAGCAATGGTGGAAAGGCTGCGGATGAGCGATTTTTATTTCATGGGACCAGTAAAAAATACATTGATGCCATCTGTCAGCAGAACTTTGACTGGAGGATCTGTGGCCTTCATGGGACAGTCTATGGCAAAGGTTGTTTTTCAGCTCTTTCTTTAACCCTAGACTCGCTGAAAATTCTCAGTAGTTACTGCAGAGGTGTAAAGTTAGAAGGAGGGCACTCAGCCAGTCTAAGGCTTATCTCTGTCATGATGTGGACAATATAGCTGACTTTGGCAATGATCATTTGGAGCTAAGGCATACTGAGAGGCCTTGGCCTCTATACTCCACCCTGTCCTTGCAAGAAAAGACACGCTCAGGAGAAACTGTCCCTAGAACTGGCCTCTCCCAGAGTCCAGACTTACTTCTGTTCCAGTTTCTCCAAGCTCCTACAAGACGGCAATATGGCATTATTTGTTTTTTTTCCAGCAACATAAATACCATCCTGGTTACAGGCTTTTTAGCAAATTATATTCCCTTTATATTGTCCTGTTTACAGGAAAGGAACAACATGCCAAGAGACAGACTGACTGACTGACTACCCACCCATCTGATTGAATATTTTATAACTGAGAAATGTTCTAATTAATATTAGTAGCCACTGTCAGGAAAGGAAGTTGGGTGAGGTTGGGGAAGGTGGATGTCTAGGGTCAGGAGGAAATCTTTTTGAGGAATATGATAACATTTAAAACATTACTTGTGTGGCTTTTTGATATGTGTGCTGTGAAAAATAAAAGTGTAGGTAATACATGGTTGTTATTTTCGCTAAGAAGGACATACAGGACAAGTGAAGGCTTTGGAAAGGTCCTTCATGAACTGCTTAATGGATTTGCTTATGAATTCGCTTTCACACTGTATCATTTCCTACCCTGCAATTTTGGTGTCTTATCTACTGTGTCTTGGTGTCTCTTCTGCAGGAAGCTATTTTGCAAGGGATGCATCTTATTCTGACAACTACTGCAAGGAGGACTCGTACACCAAGACCATGTTTCTCGCACGGGTGCTGGTGGGGGAGTTCACTCTCGGTAGTTCTTCTTATGTTCGGCCTCCCTTGAAGGACAGCCAAAACTTCTACGACAGTTGTGTGAATAGCTCTTCGAACCCTTCTATCTTTGTCATCTTTGAGAAGCAGCAGATTTATCCAGAGTATCTCATAGAATACGCTAGCCAGGCATTGGGAAAAATGCTATAGCAGCAAAACCTGTCATTGTTATGTTTAGCTGGTATAAACATTTTTTTAGTATTGGCTTAAGAGAGAAAAAGTTATTTTTAGAAGTTGTCTAATTGGTTATGTGAGTGTTCAGAAACATTTATTCTCTATCCTTTCTGTGCAATAGAAAATGAAGGGTAAAAAGACACAAAGGATGTCTTAGAATTCTTAAAATCCTATGTCTGTTTCCTGTTCTGCAGCAGGTATTGTGTTTTCCTGCGTTACTAGATACTTTTATAAATTTATTAGATGAATTCACTGATGGTGGTAACACGAGGATTGGCTATGACTGCCAAGTTATACAAAATGTAGTTATAATTGTTTCAGGATAGATCTTTACATGTGCTCATTGGTAAAGACTGTCTCCTTCTTACCTGTTTATCTTTTAACTCAAAATTTTATAAAACCTGCTTTTTAATAATGTGTCTCCTGTAACAGCAATGTAACGGACATTTAGGTGTTTGCAAATGACTCTGTGCTCAACTCATTGCACCGTTTTTTGTCCCTACTTAATCTTCACTAACGAAGCCTCAAAAATTAAACTTGCGTGTTGAAAAGGAGCAGAGACTTATTTTCACTTGTTAATTTTTTCATTTAAAGCAAGTACCAAAGACATGAAGCATAGCGAGGGTTGCTTCGTTGACTTACTCTATCAAATAAATGCTGTATTTTAGGTCTCTGAGAACACAAGTTTTTCATGACTTCCACTGTGCCTACAACTGAAGAGTGCTGGCAGGTGCCGGGGGTGAAGAAGAGGAGGCAACTCAGCCTGTCCTTCAAGAATATCATACTTAGGAGTGAAATGCACTGCTTGATTAGCAATACCGTCTTTCTGTGGAGCAACTTTATGATTCTCTTACAGCTGTTGGGAAGGACAGCGAGTGACTGTCTCTCATTAGGTGTACTGCCCCTTTGGTTACAGGAGATATCACTGGTTACCTGTGTAATCAAGGTGTCTTTGGACTTTCTTGCAGGAAAAATGTGCTTACCTGGGGAGTGGTCTTCAGCCACAGAGCTGAAACCTTTAAAAATCTGAAAATTAAGTTGAATATATAATTGTTCCCAGCAAAAGATGTCACTAGTGTTGAGCAGTCAGCATCTGTCACAGATGGAGTGATACATTTTACTCATAACAGAGAAGTAGCAGTACGTTTATTGATATGAAACAGTGATTTAACAAAGTTTGATAGTAAATATGATTGGTTTGACAAGATTTGATGGCAAGGTACACTTGATTATTTACTGCATAGAGGACAGGGTCAGACAAAACTGTCAGGGAGACCCTCCTGTTGAGTCATGAGGTTCAGAAAGGACTCCCTTGCGTTCTAAACTCCTCCTCAGAGGAGAGTTCAGGTGCAGCTGGATCCAGACTTAGTCCCAGACTTGGTCAATGGTTTATGTCTAAAGGATTATATATGCTCAATCAGTCCTTTCTATCACTTGGCTAAGATTTCAGTTTCAGTACGCTTTTTCCCAACTCAGTTACCAAGTGTATGGCATGATAAGGATTCTCTCAACCTCAAGGAGTAACCTTGAGAGGGGTCCCTACTCAAGGGGAGATCCTGGTACCCAACCCACTGCCATGCAGGAGAGCTCAAATGGCCCTGGGCTGTCCACTATTTATGGAGTAAGATAGTTGACTCATATTTGCACAATGACTACAGATGTTAGTTTCTTCTAAACTTGGCTTGAGTCGGACCTTGACCGGCACTATGGTTAGGTGGGTGTGTTGCTCAAATTAGCCCTTGGCTATTGTGTTGTTACTTGTCTCCCCCAAATCCACTTTGAGCTGGATGCAGCCACCATGACCAGACGCATCCATTACAACTGCCACTTCAGCAGCATTACGTGAAATAAAGGTTGGGCAGGGAGGAGCATGCTGCCACATATATATATATATATGCAGATAATAAAAAAACTTCAACTGTCAAGTATTTCTTAAGATTAAAGTTGCTGATGCATAGACAGATACTTCCTCACAGCTTTAATGCTCCTAAATGAGTATTTGTTAGCTATAGTGCACTGCAAAAGCCTTAAGATATGCTTTGTATAGGACCAAAAAAAGCTCATCTCTACCTGTATTCTAGAAGCACTTCTTTTTAACTCATCTGGATGATGACTGCCAGGTGTGCACTGGGTAACTCTTTATTACCTCGGCACTGTGAACTAGGAGCTTAGCCATGATTAGCTGGAGTAAGACTGAGCAGAACTCCTTTTTATACGAACTGTAAAACTGGCAGCATGATATCTAAAGGAAAATACTCCTATTTGTGTTTAAACTCTGTAAAACAGGATGTGCAAAAGTAAGTTGACTCTATTCTTTCTTTTGAGAGATTTGTAATGGAATGTACATGATAAATCTCATGTCAACAAATGCTACATTCATTGAGGAGGATAACATGTATGAAAGCTTTCATACCTGTGCAGAGTAAGATTTTTCTGCCAAAACAAAATAAATGTCCCTCTACACATCTATGGCAAATGGGACTACTGGGAGTAAGCCTTTCTTCCTCTGAACATAACCAGCATTTCAGCTAAGAACTGGAATAGCTAAAGTCATGTTAATTTTTTGCCAGAAAATTGAAACAAACGTTTTTTCATGCAAAAAGTTGAGATAACATTTTTTGATGGCTAGTAATATTTTTAAAAACTTTAACTTAATTCTTGGAGGGTGTGTGTGTGCGCATGTGCACCTGTATGTGTGTGACTAAAACTGGCTGGTTGTGTTACTTTGTTATTTCGCCATTACAAAAAAGAAAAGTTACTATGTTTTCCACTTTTGAAACTGCAGTGGTAATTTTCTTGTGTGTAGTAAATAACCAGGTATTCAAACCACTATATTCCTTGTAATGGTTTTCTCTCTCAATACTGAAAGCACCATGTTTCACTACATTTCTGAGTTCTTGGAAACTTTCTTAAAGATGCTGCTGTTAAGTAGTGGCATCCCTCTACAGGTGTTTGGAAACTAAGAGATTAAAGAGGTGTTTGTATTAAATCTAAACTTTAGACAAAAACTGATATTGAACCTTTTTTCTGATTGAGGAAGATATCTCTTGGCTACTTAAGGCAAGAAACTGAGCAGGAACAGTGTAATAATCTCTCACTTACTCCTACACCATGTGAGGAGAAAGATAAGCTGTGAAGGTTGTTTCCTTTTTTCATAACAGGTCCATCCTGGCAAGACAGATGGCAAGCCAGCAGAAGCCAAACAACTTTGCTATGCCAGTAGTGCAGTATGTAACATGGTTGTTTATGAACCTCTGACCCACCGGGCTGGGTAGGGGTCTGGTAGTCAGCCAAGGTCAACCCACCACACCATTAATGACTTTTACCTGTAATTAGATTTGTCATTATATTCTGCCTAGAATTGATAAGATGTGGGTGTCAAAATCCTTTCTATAAGTGGCAGCAGCAAAGGAGTGGCAGTACACTACCCAGTTCAGCTACCAGCAACCTGGCAAAGTAGGGGTGGTGGGTTAGAGGAACTTCGGTGGATGGCACATACCAGCTATGGTAGTGTGCGCAGCGCTGCTTGGCTTGGAGAAGACTTGCATGTTGCTGCTTAGAAACCATTTGTGTTGGAGTTGTGTATCAAGGTTTTGATAGCAAGGGGCTACATGGGTGGCTTCTGTGAGAAGCTGCCAGAAGCCTCTCCTCTGTCTGACAGAGCCAAAGCCAGCCAGCTCCAAAACAGATCCAATGCTAGCCAAGTCCGAGCCCATCAGCGACGGTGGTAGCGCCTCTGGGATAATGTATTTAAGAAGGGGAAAAACTTGCTGTGTGACTGCAGCAGCAGCCAGAGAGAGCGGAGTGAGAGTACACGAGAGGTTTGGGGGGGGGCTTGTGACCCCGCCGGGGACCCCGGCTGGAGCCA